TTTTTTTTTTTTTTTTTTTTTTTTTTTTGCCTTATTTCCACAGCTATATCAGTTCAGCTTTTGATGGAATCACTTACATGGCAAGCAGAGAAGAGCTGTATTGCCGAGTTGTGCTGAGCCAGTGTTCTGAAATTCAGAGCTCTTACCTCAAAGAAATCCTCAGAGCAAAAGAGAGCGAGTTGCTTTCCTGGCACCTTATATTTATCTCTAGAGCTGGGATTAAAGGCGTGTGACTGACTCCCTAGTATTGGGATTAAAGGTGTGAGCCATGACCAAGTGTAACTGTTTTTGCATTGTTCTTGTGTAGCCAAGGGTGGCCTTGAATTCACAGAGATCCAGCTGCCTCTGTCTCCCAAATGCTGGGATTTTGATACCACTGCCTTGTCTCTAGTGACTTATTTTTACCTCTGATCATCAGGTAAACTTTACTTATAGAACATACTTAAAATATCACTACAGTGAGTGACTTACTTGATTTCAACACTGGTAGCGGGTGTTCTAATCCCTGCAGGGACAGGTCGTCACTCCAGGCTCCAAGGCTCAGAATGTCCTCTCTAGTCATTCTGATCCTTATATCCCCTTTTCCCGCTCACACATAACCCTTGTAGTCCCACCTCTCAGCCCCAAGCTGCCACCAGATTGGACAATGGAGCAGCCACCATCTTTGATATTTTACACCTGTAGTTTGAGTGTGTCAGATCTCCATGTGGGAATGCAATGCATGAAGCCTGAGATTACAGTGAAGATTTCAAGGCCATCCATGAAACTTCCCAACAAACTCTGAGCTCTGGGCTTCCTTGTTACCTTGCATTATTAGTTTTTAAATTTTTCCTCATAATTTCTTCTATACAGCTGAGGCCTATCTAGAACTCGTTATACAGCCTGTGCTGACCTGTAAGTCTGGGCAATCCTCCTTCCTGGGTGTGTTGGTGTGAATTGGGTTTGTCTAGTTAATTAGATCTCTTTTCAGGAGAGAGTGAACTGAGACTCTGTAGAAGGTAAAAACCCATTCCCCAAGTCACCTCAAAACACTAAGAATTTGTTTATTAAATGTGCTTTAATTTATTAGTCTCTTCATTTTCAAGTGTATACCAGCTTTGCCCCTTACGGAATGATTACCATGAGGAGTGGAAAGCACAGCTGGGTTTCAGTGACCCTCCTGCCAAGTAGAAGAGGATTATGTGGGTCTGTTCAGAGCTCCTGCCAGAGAATCAACTGAAATTCTGGTGAAAACTAGCACTTGTTATATTTTTGATTTCTGTGCTCTGCACAGGCTAGTTTTATGGCCTGAACCGTACTCCATAGTAGAGTCAATAGTGCTATGGTCTGGGAGCATACTATTTCTGGTGGTTCATTGAAAGTAGCTATTCCTCATGGGGATGGGAAATGAGGGACAAAGTCAACATCTGTGTGGTATTCAGAGTGAGCTCAAGGCCAGTCTGAGTAATTTATATGAAAGCTTGTGTCCCAGTGGAAACCATCTGGAATGGCCTGAGATGTCTAGAGGTGGCATTCACATCAAACTGTTCTCCATAAAGGAAAGAGAATCAACTGAGACCACAATACGGAGGGCAAAGCTTTTAATCCAGAGTGTTGGGAACAAAGATTTGAACCAACATAATGGGAATTCCTGGAGTTGACTTGAGGGAGTCTAAACTAGGCAAGACTGTTCTTAAACTCAGATCACTCTGGCTCTGTACAGATTCCTAGGCCCATTTTAGAATTCAAGCTAGAGTCTGCTCTGTAATTCAATCCCTTCCTAATTCCTTGCATTTTTGTTTCACAGAACAGAGTTTCACAGTTGTTTGAATTATGATTTCCTCTTAACTGTAGCTTATGAATTGTCCTGGGATCTGCTATTAGTTTTGTGTACACAAGCCCCATGTCTGAGTTGATTCGAGAACTAATCTTTAGGAATGTGGTTGTATCAGCCTTGACTATTTCACTTGGCATTGTCTGAGAGTGAAATTTAAAGAAAAATACAGGTAGCACGAAAAAGTCACACCTGGGAACTCAAATTAAGGTCCTGAGCATAGAAGTTCCCAGTTCCAGGCTAAAGATTCCTGCATAAAGAGAAATTATATCTACATGAAATTAAACAAACCCAACTAGATGACCCGGGAATGGGGCTCAGTCTCAGAGCACTTGTGTAATGATCCCAAACCCTACAACCAAACAACATCGATCAAGACATTTTATGCCATATTTTATATGAGATCTCCTAAAGTGTGAAACTATCGGGTCCTGTGATATAGATACGAATAACTTGCATTGGTATGGATCTTGGTTTATTGATACAAATTTAAGGTCAAATATGCTGGCTTTCAATGAATAAGTTAATCACAGTTATAGTCTAAGTTTTTTCCTGTGTTTAGATCTGATCCTACATCAACAAATCCCAGATGGATTAAGATTAGACTCAATTGTGGAATCAGACTAGAGACTTAGCCTGGGAGGGCGTGACTACAGAGGGGCGGGTTCAGTGAAGAGGGTTATAAAGAGTCAGAGCAGCCAGAGAAACCCTCAGTGTCTCTGAAACCTGGACACAGGACACCTGGATTTGGGGTCCTCTCACCAGTGTTGACTCAGGTAAGTCTCTCAGCTCCACCCTCTATGCAGCCCAGTCTAGCCTTGTCTGTGCTTCAAATACTGTGTGTTTTTTTAGTTTGTGGGGAATTCTATTTCTTTTGTTTTTTTTGAGTTTTTTGTTTTGTTTTTGTTTCTGTTTTTCTCTGTAGCTTTGGAGCCTATCTGGGGTCTAGCTCTTGTAGACCAGGCTGGCCTCGAACTCACAGAGATCTGCCTGCCTCTGCCTCCCAAGTGCTTGGATAAACGTGCACCACCACTGTCCGGCATCTCTCTATTAAACCATATTTTTAAATTTTACATTACATTTTCAAATGAGGTATATAAACATAATACCTTCAAGCCGGGCGGTGGTGGCGCATTCCTTTCATCCCAGCACTCGGGAGGCAGAGGCAGGTGGATCTCTGTGAGTTCTAGGCCAGCCTGGTCTACAAGAGCTAGTGCAAGGACGGGCTCCAAAGCTACAGAGAAACCCCGTCTTGAAAAACTAAAATTAAAAAAAAAAACAAATAAACATAATACCTTCATCAAGAGCACAATTATACATAAAGCATATTATGTAAGCCATTCACCACCAACAGGACACAGTCATACCCGGGATCAGCAGTCTCTCATTTCCTGTTAGTATTTTTGCTTTTGTATTTGTTTTGTTTTGTTTGCTGGGGCTTTTTTGAAACTGAAAGTCTGATGTAGCCCAGGCTAGCCTAGAACACCACTGAAGTTAAGTGTTACAAATTCTGAGATCTGGATCGCAATTGTAGAGGCCTTACTAGAGTGCTGGTGTTACAAAATTCAAGGACTAGGGAACAAGAGCAAACACTGCACAACTACTCCAGTCTTAGTAAGAAATATTTAATTCAATGTGATTATACTTTGTTTGTGATCTAGCAAATATAGCTTACCTGAGGATCCAAGTGTGAAGCTGAGACACTAGTTAGCTATAGTAGCAAGGCAGTGGTGGCGCACACCTTAACTCCAGCATTTGGAAGGAAAAGGTAGATGGCTCTCTGTGAGTTCAAGGCCACCCTGAGCTACTCAAGATTGCTCCAGTCTAAAAGAGAAACAGAGCAACAGAGCCAGGTGTTAGTGTCTCACACCTTTAATTCCAGTATTTAGGAGTCACACACCTTTAATCCTGACATTAGGAAGGTGGAGTCAGGAAGGGATATGATTGGCTGGGGAGAGGAATATAAGGCGGGAGGAAACAGGAGCTCCAGGCATTCAGTCTGAGGAGTTGTTGAGAGACCCTGTTCGGTCTGAGGAGTTCCTAGAGGTAAGAATTAGTGGTTGACTGCTCTACTTCTCTGATCTTTCAGCTTTCACCCCCTAATATCTAACTCTGTTTTTTTTCTTTTTAATTAAATAGAATTTGTACTCCCTCTGTCAAGCTCATGTTGCCCAGGGTGGTGTTTAGTTGAGAGAAATCTTTAGGCCTTTGAATTCCAAGTGCTCAGCTTGGCTTCAGGTTCTAAAGCTTTTTGGAATAATAGGAACTGAATCCATTTCACAGATCCTCCCAACAAGTTCCATTGACTAAACTCAAAAAAATAGCTTGGGTGAGGGACCTTGAACATTGCACTTGAGGATCGTGAGATGTTTCCCTGCAAAAGTGTCTGGTTCACATTTGATTTTCCTCTTGCTTGTGGCCTACTGTAGTGTAGTATGATTCCGGGGACTAGGATTGGGCAGGATAACCAGGGTCATTAGTTCAAATGTGTGCTGATCTCCCTGAGGCCTTTGAGGGGACTATGGCTATGAGAAAGTCAGATAGCGGAAAATAGGAAATCTAAGGTTTCCAAACTGTTCAGGTGAGTGGCTCTGGCCCTGCATAGTTTACACGATGAAGGTCAAAAAGTGACTTGCTAAAGGTGTTTTCTCTGAAAGGCTTTATTCCTCTGCTTCTTTCCACAGCATCTGCCTACTTGCATGTCAGGATGAGCTCCCCACCCACACTCGAGAGGCTGGCCAGAAAATGTCTGCTAAAGAATGAAGCCTTGGCCAAAGCTTCCTTGAAGAAGATGCCCAAGGCATTCTTCCCACCACTGTTCATAGACGCCTTCAATGGCAACCAGACAAACATCATAAGGGCAATGGTGGCAGCCTGGCCCTTCCCATGCCTTCCCTTAGGAGCCCTGATGAAGACTCCCAACCTGAAGACCTTGAAGGCTGTGCTGGGGGGCCTGGATTTGCTGATAAACCAGAAGGATCAACCTGGGTAAGTGAGACCAAGGTATCATGGAAAGGAAGGCTTGGGTGGAAGGAAGTGACCACAGACTTCAGAATGGGATTCAAGTGGAATCAGAGCTTAGAGAAGTGGATAAGTGCAAAAGGGCAGTGGTTCGCAGAGCACACGGAGAAGAGATGTGGTCAATACACAATGGTCCTCCTCCTCCTCCCTCTTCTGTCAGTCAGTAGAAATGAAAACACGCTGGGTTGAAAAAATAGATTTCAGGGAAGTGGAGGAATGGGGTCAAAGTAAAGAGTAAATTGAAACTCAAATTGTCATTTGAATCTCCTTCTCTTTTGACCAACAGGAGTTGCAAACTCCAAGAGCTAGATTTGCGGGATGCCCAACATAACTTCTGGAACTTTTGGGTTGGAACGGAGGATGGTGTCTGCTCTCCGGATGTCATCAGTGAGACCCGACCAGTGGTTTATAGTCCCGGACGAGGGGGAAAACTGGTTGTGACTGTGTGGATGAACCTTTCCCTCAAGACCAGACATCCCAGTAAATACCTAAAATACTTCTATCGCTGGGCCAAGCTGAGAAAAGAAGTGGTGCAGGTGATGTGTCCAAAGCTGGAGTTTGGGGCCATCCCTCTCTACAACCCCCTAATATTGCTGGAGGTATTTGAGCCAAGCTCTATTGAGGAATTCACAGTGAGTGCACGTTGGACCCTGAGAACCCTGGTGAAGATAGCCCCTGGCCTGAGCCAGATGAAAAACCTTCAGAAAATCCTTCTCAATGGAATCTCCGTACCTTTTGAGTGGTTTGGAAACCGCAAGATGGTCAATCAGTGTATCACAGAGATCATTAACCAGATACCAGTACTCAAAAAGATCCAGCATCTCAAACTGAATGATGTCTGCTTCCTGAATGAACAACTGGATGAAGTACTCAGGTGAGGAAGGATAGAGTTCTTGCTCCCCAGGCCAGGGAAAAGTCTTGCAGTGTTCCATGACACATCAGTGTGCATCTGTGGCTTCCCATCCACTCCTGACTGCAGGAGTGCAATGAGCTTAGGATAATTGATGTCGTAGTCTTTCTACTGCTCTAGCATTCATGATCTAGGAACTGCCTTTGCTAGGGAACCAGTTGAAGCAAAAACAGATCCACAAAGTGTATGAGGTCTTAAGCCACATGCTGGCCCATGTCAGCTCTCTCCTCAGGACAGTTAACAGTTGAAATCTCTCTTTCTCTCTCTCTGTCTCTCCCTATATCTCTATCTCTCTTACACACACATACACACATTCCCGAAATGTCAAGTGTTTTTTGAACAGAGGTAGGGCAATGGGGAATGATTGAGAGTGAATAAGACAACAGGGAAGGCCTGTGAGCAGGACAGAGGCTGCGCTACAAAAGTGGGGTCATTGACACCGTTATTGGCACACCCAGCTGCCTGGTTCTCTGGCAGAAAGAGCAGGGGCATGGTGATTCAGAGAGAGCTGGAACCACTGGACTCTCTCTGGGTCTCAGTGGGATGGTGAGTATTGAATGGCCCAGCTTCTCTCTCCAGTTAGCTAAGGTCAGAAACACACCCACTGAATTGGGAGTCTGTCAGAGCAGGATCTCATTTAATGGTAGCAGGTAGGACCATATAGGATGGTGATGAGCTGGAGCAGCTTGGGATTGGTTGAGGCAGAGTAAGGAACAAGTGCCAATAATATTCTGCCACAGTTGAGGAGACGTTGCTGGGCAGAGGAGGGTTTAGGTCGGCTAGATAGAGACAGAAATCCAAACTCTAGCTAGGCTCAGGAAGTTACACCAGGCCTCATGCCAACTCAAATTAGTCTCAGGGAATTATACGGGGCCTCAAAAAACACTAGTTAGGTTCACGAAGCTACGCTGGGCCTCACACAGGCCTCATGAGGCCCAACGCCCAGGGATGGTTATAAGTGTACCCTTGATGGTCCTTTTTGGTCTCCTGCAGGTAACAACTGTCAGCTTAGATGGTTCTATGCTAGACTGTGCAGAGGGAACAGATCTGGGGACAGAAACTGTCACAGTTATTTTGCATGTGTTGTTAACTCTGCATCAGGGAGTACCCTGGTCTTGATCTTCATGATGCTCTCAAAATGAACTTAGGCCTAACTAGCCTCAGCTACATTGAAGTATCATCCTTTCTTTACCGTTATTAGACTTTACTGAGATAAACTCCTTTGTCTCTCTGTAGGTGCATGGAGAGTCCCTTGGAGACCCTTTCAATCACTCGATGCTCGCTATCAAATAAAGACATGAGTTATCTGTCCCAGTGTCCCAGCATCCACATGCTCAAACATCTGGATCTGAGTGGCGTCACCTTTCTAAATTTAGACCATCGACTTTTAGGAAGCCTGCTAGAAAGACTGACAGCTACTCTGCAGACATTACAATTGAAGGGTTGTATGATCATGGATCACCAGATTAGTGCCCTCTTGCCTGCCCTGAGCCAGTGCACCCAGCTCACTGAGGTCAATTTTCTGAAGAACTTCCTGTCTGTGGCCAGCATTAGGAAGCTGCTGCAGCACACTGCAAAACTGACTCTGCTCACCCGGGAGCTATACCCCGCCCCTGACGAGGTCTATGATGACATTGGTGATGTCCATCCAGACAGGTTTAGCCAACATTGCAGTGAGCTAATGGAAACTCTGAGGGCTATTAGACAGCCGAAAGAGGTCTACTTTGTGAGTAAAAGATGTCTAGACTGTCGGGACTTCTCTGTCTATAACATGGAGGCCACACTATGTTCATGTTGGGAATGAATGAGGAGGGATCACTGCTGGGCTCTGAGAAATGAAAGCCTGGACTCCAAGGACTCATTAGAGACACAAAACCTGGATTCAAGCATTTTTGGGTGTACTTGGGAAAGAAGATTGCTTTACTCGTTGTTCATATTTGAAGAATAAAAATTGACACAGAGAACTGGATGCACGTGATCTGTCAACAGTACAGCCCTGCCCTAGTGCATCAGAAGAGATCTGAAAATTGAGGAGAATCCATCCCTGCACTTTCATGGTATGACCAACCATAAGTACAAGGAATCGGTTAAAATGAAAAGAAATTCCAAAGAGCAAAGGGGACTGGGTGAGGAGGGTCTCCCGGTGCTCTGTTGCTGGAAGGAATCATCTTCTGGTTGTCCACCTCACATAAGAATCGGGAGCATATCTGCTCTGTGAAATATCCGGTTGACTGAACCATGGAGTGGCATTGGACTTAGTGGATTAGCAGCATTCTGCTGTGATTTGTCTTTCCCTTGCTTCCGTAGAAAACAAGGTGAATATTACTTTCCCCATTGTCCTTAGCATTATGATTTCCAATCATTTTCAATAAAGCAATTTTGAATGAGAGCACACTTGAAGACGTTCACTCGGGGTTCCAAAAGAGAAGACACAATAAACATAAAAACTAAAGTCTGACGGCTGTAGAAAAAGAATCTTCCCTCATGTGGTCTTTCCATTTATGTGATCTTTATTTTTTCCTTTCTAATCATTTTCAATTTCTTTCCTCTTATTCTCTGTCTCATTTCTAATTCCAATTCTCTATTACAATTTTCTGCTCCAATTCATTCTTGTTCTAATTTCTCTACATTTTTTCTTCTTCTCTGTCTATTTCATCTCAATCTATGTCTTCAGCAGTTAGAAATTCCCAAGCACGTAATACATACATATCCATTCACTAGCAACTTAATTCTAACTTAATATTAAAGAAATACTACAAACAAAACTACCAGGGACACAGGCATTCTTTGAAGAGATGTAGCAAAACTTATCACCTAGTTTGGAGATAACCATACCTGTTAACTGTGAAGAGTTCCTGGCTGTCTTTTAAAGGGAGAAAAATAAACTGTTGACAGATCTACAAAAAAGACAAAAAAACATGTGCACTATTTTACAGTTCTTAAGTGTGATTAATAATTTCTGGAAATGGTTAGTTAATTAGGTGTTACTGGTCTCTTTGAAGGCTATGATAGAATAAGGACAGACACATGCAATATTGCTCTTATTCATCATAAATCCTTTGAAGGGCTTAGATCTTGGATCTTTCCAGAAGGACGCATGTCTGGCCCACTTGCTCTGTCAGTAAGGCTAATGATAGGCAAAGACGTCCGAGTTTCTCACCATAATGTGGAGAATATAGTAGAGAGAAGAGTCATCCTTTTGACCATCCAGAAATATATGTGTGCCCATTAATTTGAGATGTAATCATGAGATTACATGTACATATAACATTAAAATGCATGTTGATGGGGAGATATCAAAGCTAAATTACAGATGAAAGCAATTCAGAGTATTCAGAGTCAATGGTGCTCCTGGCTCTGCCAGGCAGGGATCCTCCATCTGAAAGTAATTTCTCAAGTAGGTTGACGTCTGAATCATCAATTGCTATTTTCTGCAATTGTGTCATGGCCACAATAGCTCATGATGAACGCTCCTGACAGATGATGGTGGAGGCCTCAGTCTTCACATTTTCATCATTGTCTGTTGGTTTTAAAGTCATCCTCGTGTCTGAGATGATTGTAAAAACATGCTCTTTCTTAAATACGCTGTCCAATTCCAACCACAGTGCAAGTGAAACCATTCGCACTGAGAAGCACTCAACAGAAACAAAGGTGGTGCTCCATGACCTCAAATAAAGTAAAGGAAACTCCCAGATCCCAATCTTCTGAGTCTCCATTCACCTAGCTGACCCTTCCTGAAACAATTGAGAGCATCTGTGAAATGGGCATCATTAGTTACTGACTTTGATTGTCCGTTATCACTGTGCTGATGTCTCAGGGAAGGAAACACTCAATGGAGGCAGTAAAGCTTCAGTATCATTGGCGTGGTCTGCAACAGTATAGCACTGGCAAAGACAGGACTTTAAGATGGAGATGATAATTTACATGCTACAGTCAGGACACTCACTAGTTCAATGCGATGGTTGGTTACTTCTAGAGCTTTAGAACATCCGACCTGAGGTCTCCAGAAACTAATGGAAGACGACAACAACAAAAAGCATGAAGTCTCAAATTAGGAGTAAAGTGATAGGGGCTGGAGAGATGGCTCAGAGGTTTAGAGCATTGGCTCCTCTTCCAGGAGTCCTGAGTTCAATTCCCAGCAAACACATGGTGGTTCACAGCCATCTGTGATGAGGTCTGGTGCCCTCTTCTGGCCTTCAGGCATACACGCAGACAGAATATGGTACACATAATAAATAAATAAATAAATAAATAAATAAATAAATAAATAATTTTTTTTTTAAATAAAGGAGTAAAGTGATGGTTCACTATTTTAATTTGAACACTGAGACAAGGGAAGCAGAATGTTCCCAGAAAGACTGAGGACATCCTAGTCTTTATGATGGGACCATGAACCAATAGCAGAGCTCACTATGTACTCAGGCTGACTTGAACTCTGAAATCCTACAGTCTCTGGCTTTGGAGTACTGTGATTAAGGGTGCTCACCACCAAGCCTGGAGAACTGTAAGGCTTTAAAAGTATAAAAATGGCTGGGTATTGGTGTCTCATGCCTATAATCCCTGAAACCCAAGTTCAAGCCCAACCCGGTCTACAGAATGAGTTCAGAGTGGTGAGAGCTACACAGAGAAACTGTGTCTCAAAAACCAATACCTGGGGGCTGGAGAGATGGCTCAGTGGTTAAGAGCATTGCCTGCTCTTCCAAAGGTCCTGAGTTCAATTCCCAGCAACCACATGGTGGCTCACAACCATCTGTAAAGAGGTCTGGCGCCCTCTTCTGGCCTTCAGGCACACACACAGACAGAATATTGTATACATAATAA